ATATTATATTATATTATATATATATTGTATACATATATATTTATATATATATATATTGTATACATATATATATATAGATATAGAGTATGATATACTTACTATAGTAGAAGAATATAGCATAGCGTGGTTTAGCATCGTATGTTTCTGCCTGGATCGGGGCACCTTCGCAAAACGTGGTAGGTAACGACCGGTTAGCGAAGCTCCGAAGCTGCGCCTCCAAGGTTTTCCAGCTTTGCTTGGTTTAGGGTATAGGGTTTAGGGTTTTTGGTTTAGGGTTTATAGGGTTTAGGGTTTTTGGTTTAGGGTTTACAGGGTTTAGGGTTTAGGGCCCTCAACCCCAACCCGAAACCTTGAATCCCAAAACCCTTGACTTTAGGGTTTAGGGTTGAGGGGTTTAGGGTTTAGGGTCTTTCCCTGACAACCCATCCGAGCCTGAATCTGGGCTTCAGGGCTGGGAGTGCACAGGACATGCCCGACCACCGCGACTTGCACGTCACGTTCGCCACAGTGGAGGCGCCAAGCTCGCTCCCTGGCTCAGCGACTAGAAATTCTACAGGGTTTGGGTCCAGAGTTTTGAGCGAAAGGCTGGCGGGCTGGGGCGGGGCTGGGCTGGGCTCTGCTCATGCTGGTGCTTGCTGTTGGTGATGTTGCTTGTGTTATATTCCTTTAGTCAATATTTTTCACAGTTTACTGTCATAGTATGCAAGTTCTATTTGTCCTGGTCTTGAGGGTTAGGGTTTAGGATTTAGGGGTTTTGGTTTTGGGTGTAGGATGCAAGAGCTAAATATTTGCATCTGAGAAACCAAAGTAGTAAAAGCCCTTAAGCAGTCTGATCTAATCAAAACCTTAAGAAGGTATGGAGTCTGCGGAAGCTTAGGGTTCATGTAAGGTTTAGTGCTGAGGGATTTGGAGGTTAGTTTTGGGGTGGGGCTTAAGGGGTATGATCCCGTCAGTCCGCAGGAGTGCCTGTTTTGTTCAATGGTGGTTTAGGAGTGTAGCTATCCGGGCTTCGATGTCGAAACCCTGAGTTTGGGAATTTAGGTTCGTCAGGCATTAAAAGCTTTGACAGTGACAAGGTTTCGTGCTGCTCCACCCCTTTGGGCAATCGGCCCCAGTCTCATTCAAACGACTTTTTGTTCAGCTCGCCATGCAGTTTGTCTTAGCAGCGCATAGGTTCAATGTTGTAAGTTGTAGACGCGAGGATTGCGAGGGTCGAGGATTCTACATGTTATCTAATGCAACGAACACACAAGGATCAAGAAGAAGGCGGAGGGCACGAACGAGATCGTTGACTTGCGCCCTCAGAACGGCATCTTGGCTTCATTCCTTCCTCGGGATTGAAACCAGCCCTCTGACTGCACCCAAGTCCCGGAATCGTACACAATGTATCAAGCCGGAACTCAAGTCCCCAAGAATTTGAACCCTCCGAGCATTCCAGGACATGCCCGATCACCGTGACCTTCACGTCACCTTCCCGAAGGTGGAGGCGCCTAGCAAGCGGCTTGGTGGTATCCTTCCCCTTCCAGTAGTAGCATTAGCAGTAGCTCAGTAGCAGAAAGGGGTTTCGGGGTTATCCTACCCCCTTGAGAACCCACGGAGTCTCCAAGGATCAAGAGAAAGGCCGAGGGGCAGAAGGAGATGGTCGACCTGCGCCCAATGAACGGCGGGGATCATAACTTAACTTTCTTGGCAGGGTGCTTCAAAGCGGTTCCTACGAGGGTCCTGCAAGATTCCGTTGCGTCGTAGCTTCAAGAGCATCCCACGGCTGCGGAGCCAGCGCACCAGGGTAATGTGAGAGGCGTCAGGTGCGGAGGTTATTTCCACTCTCAGTGGGTGATCTAGGGGTCGGAGGCCTCCATGCCTAGAAGAAGAATAGACGCCTCAAGGCACAAGAGCCTCCGAAAGCTCTGCAGTCGAAGCCATGGCATGAAGCCTCCATCGAGCCGAGATGAGCCAAGCCCGCTGGAATATCAGGACTACGTCCCCAGCCCATTATTAGGGTTCAAGGGTCTAGGGTTTAGGGCCCTGAACTCCTAAGCAGAAAATGCTGCTCCGCAAAGCCAAACCACAGACTGTCTTGGATCACGGGAAATGAAAACTTGAATAGGCAAGCGTTCAACAGGGGTTCAGGTTTTATGGTTCGAATGGCATGCAGGACAGCAGGCATCTAAGGTGGGTTGATGTTCGGCACTTGTTTGTTGTTGTTTTGTGGCTTCGTGGCTTGCATGTCTACCACTACTACCACTACTACTACTACTACTCCTCCTCCTCCTCCTCCTGCTGCTGCTGCTGCTGCTGCTACTACTACTACTACTACTACTACTGCTACACCAGCATTAGAGTTTCTGTAAATCACTTGGAACTGTTGAACTGTTGCCGTCAGGCGGCTTCCCTATCTTCGACCAGGGCCACCTTGGCAGCTGCACCGCGAACGCGTTGGCGGCTGCCTTCCACTTCACCCTGCACAAGATGGAGGTGGAGAACAACAAGGACACAAAGAACAGAGATTGGCTTTTGCTGTGGTTTAACGCGCAGCCTAAGGTCTAAGAAGATATTCGAGTGACGACTTGGCCAGGTACCGGCAGTCGATCTTCAGTTTGCCTTCAAGGTGTACAGTCTGGAGTTTTGTAGGGCCGGTGTTCCTGTCTCGTGTCGGGCTTCGTGTTTGGAACGTTTTTGTTGGTTGAGAGGGGCTACAATTGACCAAATTGGTTTTCTACCCAAATCTCCCCCCAGAAATGCGCTACCCAACTTCGGTCAGTTTGGTTCAGTCGGTAAGCTTGTTTTCCAGTTCATTACGGCTGACTGGCACAGGACTTCGCCGACTTCACCCCAAGCCGCCTGTTCATCTACTACAACGAGCGCCTTGTTGAGGGCAGCGTGAACCAAGATGCTGGGGCCATGATCCGCGACGGCATCAAGACGATGTCCAAGGTGGGCGTCTGCCCCGAGAGCGTTTGGAAGTACGACGACGGCCCGACCTTCTTCAAGCAGGAGCCCAACCAGCAGGCCTACGACATCGCGCAGAAGTGCAGGGTCATGGGCTATGCCCGCGTTGCACAGGACCTGAGCCAGATGAAGATGTGCATCAAGAGCGGTTACCCCTTCGTCTTCGGCTTTGCCGTCCTGTCAAGCTTCCAGACAGCGGAGGTTGCCAGGACCGGCAAGATGGTGATGCCCCAGGCGACCGACCAGCAGCTGGGCGGCCACGCCGTGTGCGCCGTCGGCTACGACGACTTCCAGCAGTGCTTCATCGTCCGCAACTCCTGGGGAGAGGGGCAGCCTGACTCCAATAGTTAGATTCCCTGGGCCTCGTTCCAACTGGCCCATCTGGGCTGACTTGGACTCACTGTAAAGTTTGTACGGTCTGCGTAGTTTCACAGTCCACATGATTCGTTTGGTTCAACCGCGGCATTTTGCTGTTTCCAGCAACGCCCACAACTATTGAAGGCTCAAACCGGTTGCGATTTTGCCAGACCACATAAACACAGTTGGCCCCCAACTCAAACTTTGGCTCAAACTTTGGCTCAAACTCTACGCGTTGTCGAAAACCAAAAAGCCCTACCAAAAACCCTAACCCCAAACCCTACATGAAAAAACCCTAAAACCCTAAGCTTGCCCGAAACCCCACTCGCTCTGGCCTGACTGCAACATCATAAAATCATAGACTTTTCAGACACCATGGGTTCACATGTGTGAGTATGAGAATCACAGTAAGGCGGTCTTATACTTTCTTGAACTACACATCGTAAACAACTAATTCATTGACACTCGTCACAGACACAGATACATGGATGGTTCTGTTGTGGCTGCTCGGACGGTGGGACAGCGACGCTGAGTTTAAATTTCGAAACAGAAACAACAAGCAGGTCAGATTCAGTAACTTGCTCACGAAGCTGTCCCGTGCAGATCCGACTGGCGGCTTGAAGCTTCTGGACGACCGCTTATCTAGATGTTCCTTGAACCGTAGTGCCTGCGACGATCTGAAAGGCAGGGTTTTGGGCTTGTTGGATGTTGAGCCTACAACAATTCCAGATGGGCCACTGGGCAAGCTAACTTTGGAGCAAAGGCTTGCTTGGTTGCTGAATGATCGAAACGACATGGCATTCAATGTTGTCAAACGTGTGTTTTCCTTGCAATCACCAGTTGAAGCAGCTGTCATTGGCAATGCGGCTCGTGCAAAGCGGACAATATTTCAGTTGCAATCCGGGTTTACAGAGAGGCTCGGTGGTGAAATTTTTGGTTGCGGGTTGACTTTACGGCAGACTCTGCAGCAACATGGTTATTTGCAACCACAGAGCATGATGCCGGTGGTAGCTGTGCAGGTGTGGCGACCAATGGCTTATTTAATAAGTCAGGGCATGTGGTCAGATTTGAGTTTGCCAAACAAGTTGTATTGCAGTGTACCCTCACCTGAAGCTTTGCAGTCTGTGCAGTGCTTACTCGAAGCACAAGGCATGGAATGGGGTAGGCAGTCAGCTTCATCACAAGTTTCTTTGCATCCCGCAAATTTTCGTGACTGGGCCGATATGATCCGAAATTGGGCAGACAGCGTGGCTGGAAACAGCAGAAGGGATCCGGAGGGTGCTTCAGCCATGCGTTTGAGCATGGAGCTTCTGGTTTCTACTTTGGAAGGGCAAGCTGGTGCATTGGAAGCTGTGCGATCTGGGATGTTCGATTGCAAAAGATGGGGCTTCCATCGCTATGATATGGTGTTTCTGATTCGCTGTCTGTTCTTATGCAGTAATTTGAGAAGTGATCGTGCTCTCCGGGACGCATTGGTTGCAAGCTTGCATGTCCTTTTCCAAGGAAGCCCAGGTGGAGAAGCAAACTACTTTAGAGAAATCCTTGGTGACAGCGACTTCCCCGTGCCCAGCCCGTCAACACTTGGGCATATGCGATTTGTTTTGGATTGTGTTGCTATGCTTCAGATGCGAAAGTATCATGAGAAAGTCTTCGCCGCTGGTCAACCCAAGCCTGCCCTGTTTTTCCTTTTAGACAGCAGCCCACAAGGAAATGTCAATTGGCTGATGATCGAATACTTCCTCGTTGAGGGAAACAAACTGCAAGGCCTTTGTGCGGACGCCTGGCGTCTTCACAAGCTCGGCCGGGTCAGATGGCAAGATGATCCGGATGAGGAAAGGGTCGCTGAAGAGCGGGGGCTGGTTGAGAGGTTGACTTCTGTCGTGCAGCACCATGTTTTGCCGCCAGTTGGTTTGGGTAGTGGCCGATCAAGCTTGCAGTACGAACACCATGCTTTGCTCCACGCATTATTTCTTGAGACGGGAAATTTTGAGCTTATGTGTGCTGTGGCGTCGCAAACAACAGCTATTGCGAGTGACAAAGGCACAGAGTCAGGGATTCAGCAGGCCCCCGCAGTATCGCTTCGAGATTTTTTGTGTTTTGCACAAGGTGATTCTTTCGTTGCAGATGATGGGGATGGGCTAAACGAGGTGGAGACATGCATGCTTGACTTCAATTGTTCGTTGGGGATTCATGCTCTACAACACTTTGTAAACAATTGCACGAAGGGCATCGCAGATGCCATGCCGTCATTCTGGGATGATGTGTATCCAGGCATGAATGCCTTGATCAATTGCCTCAGCGCGAAATTCTTCAGACAACGCTTTGCGGCCACGTGCCTCTCGAGCTCCGAGGGTGCAGCTTGGCGCCCAAAATTCGAAGAGGGCTATAGGGACACATTGGTAGGGTGGCGGTTTGGCTCTTTAGCCGCTTGCAACCAGGCTTTGCTCGCATACGAGTACCCCTTGCGACAGTTCTGGGATGATGAGAAGCTTCATTTCAAGCAACATCCTCAGCCTGAGCAGCCCCCTCCCAGGCCACATAGTGAAAAACCCGAAGGGCCAAATAGTTCACTAGCGTCTCATGCCTGTAAATCCAAGGTTTTCTGGGCTTGGCAACACATGTTTTCTAGAATAGCAAACATTGTCGACCACATGACGAACTGGTTGCAGTCCTGTCCTTGCCACGAATTGAATGCAGCCTCTTGGGGGGCACGCTGCCATGAGTTTGCCCAACGGTTGTTCTTGGAGAGACAGAGCCGACCTGCCCATTGTCCAATGTCAGGTTTCCGTGCGTCGGAGATTGCTTGTGGGCAGTTCGAATCCTTCATAACAGCC